TACAAAGACTAGATGATAAGAGGATCTATAACTTAAGAATTAAGAACATAAAAGAAGAAGGACTCAAACAAATGAACTACAAAAGCTATTCACAGAAATAATCCAAGAGAATTTCCCTAATTTAGCAAAAGGTAAAGATACTGAGATGTATGAGGCATACAGGACCCCAGCCAGCTACAACCCAAACAGAGCTACACCCAGGCATATAATAATCAAAATTCCAGAAATCCAATATAAGAACAGAATATTAAAAGCCGTCAAAGACAAGAAACAGATCACTTGCAAGGGAACACCCATCAGAGTTACAGCAGACTTCTCAAAGCAAACCATCAAATCACAAAGAACATGGGGAGAAATAATTCAAGCTTTGAAAGATAATAACCTCCAGCCAAGATTGATATATCCTGCACAACTGTCCCTAGAAATTGATGGAAAAACAAGGTGCTTCCAGGATAAAGAGGAACTAGGGGAATTTGCAACTACCAATTCAATTCTACAGAGATTACTGCAGGATATTCTAAAAATGAAAAATATCAAGATTCCAGAAACAGTGGCAGAGCGGCCACGATGAATGGAGCAGAAAGCGAAATGAAGAGGACAAACTGACAACTAATGACAGAAAAAGAGCTCAACAGAAATGAAGCAGAGAAGGTTGGATGGTAGGAACAGCCATTTTGGAGAAAACAAGACACCATAATAGGTAGTGCTGATTTAATATCTTCTTGTTTTGAAGTCCCATCAAGCTTTTGTTCTTCTGTCTCCATCGATTTTAACGTGTTGTATCTTACTGGATTTTATTATATGTGATAATATAAACAAAAACTTTTATAGACAAGGAGATTATGCAGAAACCATTGTTCATTTTCTGTTAGTTGATTCTAAATACCCTGTAATACTGTCATTCTCTTGAACGGTTTTATATTGTCTTGATATGTTTGATGCTACAGTATACGAAGTTATACCCAAAGATTTTAAGGGAAGAGACACTATGGTAACTACTATTATGTCAAGATTATCTTGTGGTGAAACACTATTTTGCTTAAATGGCTATGGTTTGACCTGCACTGTTTTGTTGTTATGCCCTCTTTTTTATCTCAATCAACTTTTTATTATCTACTTTGATTTTGATCCTTTTAATTAAGGGAAAAATAAAAAATAGCAGGATATATTATAGTAACCCACTTTGATTTCCTATTAACTTGATTTGAAACTCTGTATTGCTCTCACCATCTTGTTTTGACTGATTTTCCTGTATTATGTTATGCTTGATAGTACCAAGTTTGAAAGTATAGGCAACAACTATGAAGAAAATAAGATTCATTGTGATGCCCATTCTGGTTGACTATTATCTTCTTTTGAAGTCCTCTAATGTTTCCAAAGTTTTGGTTTTATTGGTCTTATTCTTTACTGTTTTGTTCAATTTTATTATAACTGATGATATAGGCAATTCTTTTTAAGATAACAAGAAGCATTATGGTAACCATTGTTGATCACCTTGTATTTTGTTTTTACATTACGTATTATGTCCATCCTTTTGATTTGACTGACTCTGTCCTGGTATGTCACATTTGGTTTTACTTTCTTCCAAAAAAAAGTAGTAAGAACTGTGGGAGTAATAAAACCCAAAATGGGTAATTGTCATTGTACAAAAGAATGGAAAAGAAAGTTCTCTAAAAGATATAACTGCATATATATTTAAGTGTATAAGATAGATAACCATATTACTGAGTTTTGTTGGATCATTGAACAAAACTGTTTGCAGTCTCACTGTTTGAAAGTCCCCCCTATATGCTTTAATTTTGTAACTTCAACAACTATTTCTAAGATGACAATATGTAATTAACTACTGATTTCCTACTGCTTATTTTTTCTGAAATTCTGTATAACTTGTACCCTGTTTTTGTTTTTTTTTTCTTTTTTCTCCTTAAATAAAATTTAAAAATAAAATAAAATAAACATCACACACAAGGGGCGTCCCTAGGGAGTGTCATGACAGCCCATGAAACAGACCCTAGCTGCGAACACACCACAGAAAGCTATCTGGCTCTCTGGATCACTTACACCAAGTACCGACTCGCTCCAGTACAGTAGGCGTTCAGGCTGCCTGGTGCTGCCTGGTGGGGCCCAGCATCGCACTCTCCTCTAGCAGGACTCTGCCATCACCACAGCACTGGCACTGCTGCTGGCACTCTTGGGAGCAGCAGGGGTTGACTGTCCTTGCCTAGCTTGCTCATGTGCATGGATGCCTTGGGGACACAGAATGTGCATGTCGCCTACCTAACCAGTTCGCCCTAGGACATCTTGCAAATGTGTTTGCACGGGGGTGCAAGACACAGGCATGTCCAGGTGGAAATGTATCTACAGTAGGACTTACAGTGAACAAAATAAGAGGCACACACTAAGTATGAAACTGCACTGTCGCATCCACAGAGCACATGGCAGGGCAGGGAGCAAAGGTTCCTGGGAGCCACTGAGGGGTCCCAGGCCCAAAAGCAAGGTGGAACCAGGCCTCAAGCACCATGTGTATCCATTTAAAGGGAAGCTGGGCATGGTGGCACATGCCTGGAATCCCAGTGCTTGGGAGGCGGAGCCAGGGAGATTGCTGAGAATTCAAGGCCAGCCTAAACTATACATCAAGACCCTGTCTTAAAAAATGAAATAAAGTAGGAATACAGGGGCTTGAGGTATAGCAAAGCAGTATAGCACTTGCCTACCATGCATTAGGGCCTGGGTTTGATCCCTAGCACTGAAAATGGGGCATGTGCATGTGTGTGTGTGTGTGCACATGCATGCCATCTCTGGACTAATAACAGAAGAACAAGATTAAAGTAGTTGCCCTGGGGAAGGGAACTACGCAAAGGTGGACAAGAGGTAGCTTTACCTCTTCTACAGGGCTGAACTTTTTTTATCTGTGTCTGAAGTTCTTCCTCCATGCACACACACTGTAAAGAAAAGTGTGAAAGAGCTCACCTCACCAAAGCTATCAGACAGTGGCACCTACTGGCAAAATCGCTTCCTATCTCTCAGCACATCTTAAGAGCTAAGAAATCCATGGTTTTCCTGGAGATGCTACTTCAGCTGTTATTTAGGAAACCCATTTCTTTTTTTTTTTTTTTTTATTTAAAAGGAAAAAGAGAAAAAAAACAAAACAGTGTAAGGGTACAAGTAATACAGAACTACAAAAAAAAGTAAGATATCACCAGTTAATAGATTACACACTATCATTTTTGAAACCGTTATTCAGGTCACAGGATCAAAGCATACAAAGTGAACATTCAAACAGTGAGACTGCAAATAGTTGTGTTCAATGATCCAAACAAAAATATTAATATGGTCATCTATTTAACACACCTAAACACACTTGCTGTTGTATCCTTTAGGGCACTTTTTTTTCCCTCTCTTTATTACAACAAAATTTACACATTTTGGGTTTTATTGCTCCCATAGATCTTGTACTTTTTTTGTAAGAGAATAAAATCAAACATGATAAAACTGTCAGTCAAAACCAAGGATAGACATAGCACATGATGTAAAAACAGAGTACAAGGTTATCAACAATGGTTACCATAATGCCTCTTGCTTCCTTAAGAAGAATTGTCTATCTCATTAGGTATTATAACGTTGAACTAAACAGTAGAGAATAAGACCAATAAAACCTAAACATTGTAAACCTTACAAAACTTCAAAAGAGGATTAATAGTCAAACCAGAATGGGCATCAATGTGAATCTTATTGCCTTCAAAGTAGTTCCCTATACTCTGGTACTTAATACTATCATACAGAGCGGAACAGAGTCTAATCAGTAAAAACAAGATAGTGGGAGTATTACAGGACTTCAAATCAAGTTAATAGGAAATCAAAAAAGTTACTATAATATATCCTGCTAGTTTTTTTGATTTTTTTCTCCTTAGTTTAAAAAAGAAAAATTTTTTAAAAATTAAATATTTTTTTAATGAATAAGGGAGAGGTTGAGATAAAAGAGGACATAACAACATAACAATACAGGTCAAAGCATGACAGTTTCAGCAACCTAGTGCTTCACCACCAAATAACCCAACTTAATAGTAGTTACCATAGTGTCTTTTTCCTTGAAATATTTGAATATAACTTCATATGCTATAGCATCAAACATATCAAGACAGTGTAACACCATTCAAGTTGATGAAAACATTGTAGAGTATTTAGAACCAGCTAACAGAATGGAAACCCATTTCTATTAAAGCCAGATAAAGAAGTCTTTGCTGGCATCAGGCTGTTGGAACCTAGGATTCAAAAGTACTGCGGGGCTGGGAAGCGATGGCTCTTTATGGCTTAAGCTGAATGCCATAAAAAAGCATGAAGAGCACTTCCACGTCCTTCCACAGAGGGAACCTCCGGGAAGCGGGGGAATTACAGAGAGACAAACACATTTACCTACTTTTTTGTTTTGTTTTATTTTGTTGTGTTTTTTGAGACACGGTCTCGCTGAATAGCTTAGGCTGACCTCCAATTTGTGATGCTCCTCCTGCCTCAGCCTCCCAAGTGCTGGGATTACAAGGGTGAGCCACCATACCCAGCTTGAGTATTTGAGGGGAAAAGAAATTGGCTGAAGATGAGGACCAGCAGCAGAATGGTTGTCACTTTTGTTTTAGACAGATAGATGGCCACCAATGTGGAAAATAGGCCGGGGACGAGTCTGGAGACAGGACAGCTCATTTATTTATATTAGCTGTTATAAATTGTCATCACAGCCAATTGACTCCTTTCCTAAACATTAAGCCTGAAAGCTGTGGCAGAGAGAAATCAGTTCAGGACTGTGTCTTTTCTCCAGGCATAGAAGATGAGACAGACCACTGAGAGCAAAGCAGTGTGATATAAATATAATAGATAATAATCAATTCATATCGCATTTTAAATGTTCTGGCACGGCAAGTAAAATTAACAATCCCCTTTTATGCATTGAAGCAAAGCTGAAAGCCAAACAACAGTAACTAGACCAGAAAAATAAGCAGGCCACTTACCAAAGGGACTGGGGTGCCGGGCTCAAACTCCGTGGAATTGGCATCTGGAGATTAAAAAGAGTTCATAAAGTTACAGGTGCTGCTGCAAATATTGTAAGGGACAAAGTTCTGTAAGTGAATGGTCACCAGCCAGCCTTGGATTCACCTTTCATGTCCAGGCAGTTCCTTGCGAACTCTATCACCGCCAGCTGCATCCCAAGGCAGACTCCTATTGTAAAGAACACATATATCAACAAATGGACACAGGGGAATTTATTTGCTTTTGAAATTTTATTTATTCACTCATTGTTTTTTTTTTTTTTAATTTTTATTTAAGGAGAAAAGAAAAGAAAGAAAAAAAACAGTGAAGGGGTACAAGTTATACAGATTTACAGAATAAAAAAATGCGCAGTAGGAAATCACTAGTTAATGGATTACATATTGCCATCTTAGAAATAATTGTTCAAGTCACAAAATTAAAGCTTGTAGAGTGGACATTCCACCAATGATACTGCAAACAGTTCTGTTCAATGATCCAATAAAACTCTGTGATATCATTTTCTATCTTATACTTTTAAATATACATGCAGTTATATAGTTTAGAGCACTTTCTTTTCCTCTCTTTTGTACAGTGACTATTACACATTTTGGGTTTCATTGCTCCCACGGTTCTTGTTGCTTTTTTGGAAGAGAGTAAAACCAAATGTGACATAACAGAACAGAATCGGTCAAGTCAAAAGGGTGGACATAATAGATAATATAAAAACATAATACAAGGTGATCAACAATGGTTACCCTAATGCCTCCCGCTATTTCTAATAGAATTGCCTATATCATTAGTTGTAATACAATTGATCAAAACCGTAAAGAATAAAACCGACAAAACCAAAACATTGGAGACATTGTAGGTCTTCAAAAGTAGATAAAAGTCAACGAGAATGGGCGTTATAATGAATCTCATTATCTTCTCAGCTGATGCCTAAACTTTCGAACCTGATACTATCCAGCAAAACAGAATATAGGAACCTCAGTCAAAAACAAGATGGTGAGAGTAATACAGGGCTTCAAATCGAGATAATAGAAAGTCAAAGTGGGTTACTATATTATATCCTGCTATATTTTTCCCTGTAATTAAATGGGTAAAAACAAAAAAGTAAATAATGGAGTGGAGATTGAGAAAAAAAGAGGGCATAACAGCGAAACAGGGCAGATCAAAACATAACCATTTAAGCAGAATAGTGTTTCACCACCAGCTAATCCTGACCCAAAAATAGTTACCATATTGACTCCCTCCCTGAAGTCCTTGAGTACAACTTCATATACTGTAGCATTAAGTATATCAAAACAATGTAAATCCATTTAAGAGAATAACAGCATTATAGAGTATTTAGAATCGACTAACAGAAAATGAACAATGGTCTCTGTATAATCTCCTTGTCTTTAAAAGGTTTTTTCTTATACTATCGTACATAGTAAAATCCAATAAGATACAACCTGTTTAGACCATTGGAGACAGAAGAACAAAAGCTAGATGAGACTTCAAAACAAGATGGTACTAAATCAGCATTACCTATTAAGATGTCATTTTCTCCAAAAAAAGCTGTTCCTATCATCCAATCTTCTCTGTCTCATTTCTGTTGTCACTCATTGTTTTTTGAGACAGGTTCTTGCTAATATAGCCCAGTCTGGCCTCAAACTCACAGCAATCCTCCTGCCTCAGCCTCCTGAGTGCTGGGATAGCAGACATATGCCACCACACCCAGCACACAAATTCTTCTATTACAAGGTGAGCATTATTTTAGGCACTTTAACCACACTCAGATGAAACCAAGTTTAGATAGAAAACGAGGGCCCAATGAGCTGACACCGCAGCAGGAGCTAACAAGTAGTAAGGTGATGCAGCATTTTTGTAAAGGGGTCTCCAGGGCTGCATCCAGGAAGCTCAGCAAGGGTCATGCAATGGGCACAGAAACCATCTGCAGACAGTAAAAGGCCACAGAGCCTGGGGCAAGGCCACCCCTCATGGGCCCCAGTGCTGACTTCCCAGCCCCAGGGATGTACATAGCACAGCAAGGGCTGGGCTCATCTGGCCAGACACCAGGCTTCGCAGTTTAACTGAGGGCACTCAAAAGCCCCAAGTCTGCCAGGTGTGACTCTAATCTTAGTTACTCAGGAGGCTGAGGCAGGAGGAATGCTTAAGCCCATGTTTCGGGTCAGCCTGGGCAACACACTTTGTCTCTTAAAATAACAAAAGAAATGGACTCTACTGCATTCTACCAGAGCCACACCTAAGGCATGAGCTGCTCTTGCTATATTATCTTCTCTGGAATGAGTATACAAGTTTCAACCTCTGGTAAAGCAGCCTGTCTGCTTGCAGTAGTTGAGAGGACAGGTTGGGGAGGAAATTGGAAAAAGGAAACTGAGGCAGAGACCTCTCCCCAATCATGGCCACTCAGATATTTCCTCCAGGATAGTACAAGTTCTCCTAGGGGAGCCAATTTTATCTGTAAAGTATTTGACAACAAATAATCTAAGTTTTGCAATCTGTATGGTCTCCAATGCTGCTGTTCAAACATATGCCAAGAAACTGGTATGTCTGTGTTCCAATACAACTTTATAGAAACAGCCCACAAGCCAGGTTTGGTCTTAAGATGATTTGCTAACCCCTGCAGCAGATTATTTGGTACCTAACTGTCAAATTGAAGTTCACAGCTTCACAATCACAAACTTTAATAAGTGTGACCACTATTAAGTGTCAGAAAGCTAATACACTCAGCCAGGCATGATGGCAGGAGGATCATCACCAGTTTGAGGCCAGCTTGAGCTACATACCATTTTGAGTTTAAGGGTAGCCAGATCTATATAGGGAGGCCCTGTCTCAAAAAACAAAACAAAAAAGTTCTATAAACTTGCCAAGTGTGGTGGTGCAGGCCTGTAATCCCAGCATTCTGGGAGGCTGAGGCAGAAAGATCACAGTCTGAGGCCAGCCTGGGCAATTTAGCAGCTTAGCAAGACTCTGTCTCAAACAACATAAAAAGGGCTAGGGATGTAGCTCAGTGTAAAGGGTCTGGGTTCAATCCCTGACACTGCATTAAAAAATTCATAAACATGAATCAATAGACATGAATTTTACCCAGAAAAGGAATCTTTCTTGTCCTTGCCCAAGAAATCGCCTGGATTTTTCCCAGCGTTCCTCTGAGTCCAAAGCCTCCAGGCACAAGAACACCACTGAAATCAGCACAAAAAGATGCTAAGTGAGGTCAGGCATTATTCTTACTGCTAACGCTTGTGTGTGTGACCGATCACGCTACTGAGCCCACACCAGAGCCCGGCACACCTGTGTCTGGCACCCTGACATGTACCTGCTGTAGGTCCACTGCCCCAACCACAGTGCCATCGCCCACAGGCATGTAGTGCCTGCACCCTCCCCCCCATGAGCAAGCTGTGATGACTTCTCAGGCACCTCCATGACACTTCCAGGTACAGTGCCTGGCAGCACACGCCTGTGATCCTGGCTCTGGGACAGGCTGTAAGGTAGGGGCCCTCCTGGGCTACATAGCTAATTCCAAAAATAAAACAATTCAATTTAAAAATCTGTTATGTAATCAAAACCAATTAGATTGGTAAGAATCAGCCTTAGATTTGAACTGTTAATTAATTGGTGGTGAGTGAAAACTTCCTGGCTAGCCGGGAATATAGCTCACTGATACAACGCTTGCCTGGCAAAAAAAAAAAAAAAAAAAAAAAAAAAATCCCTGACTAGAGACCTTCTAGTTCCACAGTGGCAAACTCCATGGCATGCATGCAGCAGTGGGCTATTTGTATCACTGAAAGTTCTAAAAGGTTCACCATCACTGTTCTAGCCCAACAGTGCCAGGTGACCAAGATGACAGGGACCACCCAGGAAGGGCTTGCTACCCTTGTGGAACAGTGCTGCTCCCAATAGCTCTGCCCATGATTTAGCAAATCAGAGTACAAAGCAAGTGGTGGCAATGGCTGCACAGCCTTGTGAACAGGCAGAAACCACTGAGTCGTGCACTCTATGAGGGCAGGCTTCAGGGCATGTGAACAATATCACAGCATTAGAAATAATGGCTCATGAAGCCAGGCATGGTGGTTCATGGCTTTTAATCCAGCACTAGGGAAGCAGAGGCAGGAGGATCACTGCAAGTTGGAGGCCAGCCTGGGCTACAAAGGCAGCCTACACTCAATAGTGAGACCTTATCTTAAAAAATAAGTAAATAAACAAGGGGACAGAGCTCAGTGGCACAGTGCCTGCCTGGCAAGCATGAGGTCGTGATTTTGACTTCCCGTATCCAAAACAAATTTAAACAAAAATCAAGAGAGGAACGGTATCCCTCTTATACCTGAACTGTGTGCACTCTGAACTGTGTGCACTCTGTACATCTGTCTCTCTAGGGAACATCAACACACACTCACCCCCCAGGTCATCCCCCCTGGTGGGTCATGTGGCCAGTGGCTAGTGTCACAGCAGCACATGCGCATGCTCCTGCCAGTGCCCAGCTCTGCCTCATGCTTAGACTCACTCAGCCATGCATAGCTTCTGCCAAGCTTCATTGAACTTCACCGGGTCCTGGACCTTGGTGTCCTGCTCCAGGTCGATGGAGTCTATGTACTAGAGGGACACAGCATGGAAATGGACAATGAGAAGGGCACAGCCGGTGGCACAGAGCTACCCGAACCCACACAGATGCTCCATCATGCTGCAGAACCGAGACGGCCGCACATGGAGTCTGCCCCGTGCCCCACACTCCACAATCCTGGCACAGTCAGCCCTGCACAAGCCAGATGCGGAGCTGCGTGGAAAGGGTTGGGATTCTGGTGGCAAACCGAATAGCACGAAAGCCAAACCCCTTTCAATAGTCAGGTTCAATGCAGGTCTGATGGAGAAATTTGCTTCCGTTCTCATCCAGTTCAGTTTGCGACCAGAATCATGGAGAGAAATGAGTTTGTGAACTGAGGCACCACTGCCTATGATAGCTAGTTCTACACGTACTTTCAAGTTTTCCTTATGACTGACAATCAACTTTTAGGACGTGGAAAAGTCAGCTCCTTGTTGGGACTGAAAACAATGCTCAGGGTGCTGGTATCAGCCCTGCTGGGTAAAACCATGGGACACAAAGCTATTTTATGCTCACAGCAAGGACAGTGTGGCCATGTGGTCGCCTTAACACATCAGAAAGCTGGAAAACCTTACTGTACTTACCATGCAACTGCTGCACGGGACACTGGGGACAGAAAGACCCATTCTGTTCAGTGGCCTTTATAGTCCTCCTGGAAGATTATGTAACTAAGTAAACAGACACCACTGCCAGAGCGTGATCGTGGCCAGACCAGAAGAAAGAAAAGGGTTCTAAGTAACAGGAGCCACCTGGAAGCCACCACTGACTGCTGCAGAGAGGAAAGGAAGGACGGAGAGCCTAGGAGATCTCTAGAAAGATGAGATCCAAACCCCTAAGTCCCAGATGGAGGAGAATTAAGATAAGCAAGAAAATTGAGTGTGGTAGTACACACCTGTCATCCCAGCACTCAGCAGGCTGAGGCAGGAGGATCCCTGCGATTTTGAGTCAGCTGAGCTACAGAGTGAGTTCAAGGTCAGCCTGGACTACACAGTGAGACCCTGTCTCAAAATACCAAAGAAAGAAAGCTAAGTGCAAGCATCAGGGATGTGTGTGTGTGTGTGTGTGTGTGTGTGTGTGTGTGTGTGTGTGTTGGGAGGGACAGAGAGGTGTGTAGGAGCTAAGGAAGGTGGAGAGGGTTTAAAATGTCCAAGGAAAGAGAGGACACCTCCAAAGAGGCTCTGCTAAGTGAGAGGAGAGATGGGATCAGTCGGGGAGAAGGGCATGAGGCTGGGAGGCTGTGGCGTGGGGTTCACACTGCCTACCGGCTCCCCCTGCTGCTTTCTCTGCAGTCAGAGGCTGACTTCACTTCACTGGGAGCGCGTACTGAGGCCCAAGACATCACTAGTGACCCCTGTCCTGGGGTGTCTCTGGGCCCTTCCACATTACCTGCCTCTCAGAGCGTGCTGTGGGGCCAGGCGGGACTCACCATGAGGTTGAGTTTGTGGTTGATGGCCAGGGCCGAGTGCTCCAGAGCTTTGAACACAGACGCGTAGCAGTCCCGGAGCTTGGTGTATTTCCCGACTAGGGCAATGGAGCAGATCTTCTGCAGCCTTTCATACCTGCAACGCACAAAGTTTATACATGTTTAACTGACCTCACAAGCAGCAACGGCAGCCACCACTTTTATCCTGGGGCACTTCGTTTTATTTTTTTGTTTGTTTGTTTGTTTTGGAGACAGAGTCTTCTCACTCTGCAGTTTGGGCTGGCCTTGAACTCACTATGTAACCCCAGGCTGGTCTCGAACTTGTGGCGATCCTCCTGCCTCAGCCTCCCACGTGCTAGGATTACAGGTGTGGGCCATCACACTTGGCTTCAGAACACTTTTTAAACCTTAGGAATAGACAGTATTCCTACATGGTAAACTTGACTTAGTCTCCCCCCAAAACTACCAAAATCTGTTCACCAAATACGTATCAAAATCTGAAGAAATCCCTTACATAACAGTTACAGATGGATATTGGAGTTGCTCAGAGAAAAAAAGCACTCCAAATACAAAATGTAAAAAGCCACCTCATAAACACTGTTCATGTGACGAGCTGTTCGTCAATGAGTTTATAGTGTGACACTGCAGAAGAAAGAGCTCCTGAGGTCAACAGGAAACATTCCAACTGGAACTTCGGGAAGGCGACACTGTAGGAGAAACTGGTTCAGAACATCTCTGTTTCCAATGCTTCCGCTCCTAGCTGGCCTCCAAGGCATACCTGAAGAATAGTGCTAGGAGAACTGTTTGAAATACTACTAACCACTGCCATCATTTTTCTGAGAAAGTTCCACTCTACACAGGACACTCCAGCACAGTGCTCCACGAGAGATGCAATGTATGATGCCACTTTTGTCAGGAACTCTGTTCACAGCACAAGACACGACACAGCTGTGCTCTGGGATTAGTTATGAAATGCAAATGTGGCGCCAGCCCTTCCCCAAACACCTCAGGGACACAGTACCTCAAGGAGGAAGCTGTTGCTCCTATCACAGCCACAAGAGGGCAAGTACATGGTGGCACTCAGGAGGCTGAAGCAGAAGGACTGCCGTGAGTTTGAGGCCAGCCTGAACTGTACAGTGAGACCCTCTCTCAGGCAAAAATGCTTTAACTCCTGCCTGAAGTTGTCACTGCCCCAGAGAATGCAGCTGCTTAGCCTCACACTTCCTCTCAGGAGAGGGTGCAGAAACAAGCAGAGGCACAGGCAGAGGGAGAGACAGGGCTTCCTTTCCGGGGGCAGCTGGCCGGGCCTCTCTCCCTTGCCCTCATTCCTGTGCTAACTGTCCTCTACTCCTTGCATTCACAGGTCCCAGCATGCCAGGAGGGAGAATCGCTCGGTGGCCACACTTCCCAGGGTGGCCCCCTTTGCACCACGCACCCTGTCTTCTGCCCATGGCCACCCAAAATGTGCAAGGCCAGCCTGCGGTGCTACAAGAAGCTGCTGCCACAGGGAAGGAGTCGCATGTCCCATGGCAGGACAGGGGTGCCACTCTGACCTCAAGTCCCAAGCCAGCTCTCCTATTTCTTTTTTTGTACCGGGAATTGAACTCAGGACCGTCCCCTTGCCAGGAAGTCACTTGTGCCACTAAGTTATATCCCTAGCCCACCGATGCTTGTTTGTTTGTCTTGTTTTGTTGGTTTTTTTAGACAGAGTCTCACTATGTAGCCCAGGCTGGCCTCAGACTCACAGCAATCCTGCTTCAGCCTCCCAAGTGCTAGGATAATAGACATGCGCCACCACCACACCCAAACCTTACAAGAGAGGAGGAAGGGAGATGTCGAGAAGGCAGTATGCAGGCAGAGTAGACGTTAGAGAGGTGTAGCTGTAAGTCAAGCACCCCAAGACATCAGGCAGCCAGCAGATCCCAGAGCAGACTGAGGACTGAGCTTCGGAGACCTTGACTTGGGCCTTGTGACTCCCAAGAATGAGACAGTACAAACCGCTACAGTAATTTAGTACAGCAGCTGCAGGGAGCTTAGTACCAACATCAAATGTGTTTGGCTTTAAAAAGTATAAAAGCACTTGGCCTGGTGGCATGGGCCTCTAATCCCAGCACTCAGGAGGCTGAGGCAGGAGAACTGCTAGAAGTTGAGGTTATAACTACATAGCCAGGCTCTATCTCAAACAAAAAAAAAAGAAAGAAAATTATTTTCTTTAGAAAATATTAGCTGAGCTGGGGATATAGCTCAGCAGCACAGCACCTGCCTGGCAAGCTCAAGGTCATAAGTTCAATTCCTGGTATCAAAAAGAAAAGAAATTATTGGCTGAGAATGTAATCATTATATACTGCAAACATGTACTAATACAAGTCAAAAAAAGAGAGAGAAGAAAACATTAGATAAATCCTAAAAATAAAATGTAACGAACATTTAAAATGACAAAATATGCAGAAACCAAGAAACAAATCAAAATCCTCCCTAAATAAAAAAATAAAATTCCATCTAAAGCCCAAATTCTTTTAATTCACTTTGGTTTAAGTCCAGAAAGTCAAAGGCTGTAGAAATCTGCAAGGAATACAGCAAACCTCTCTCAGGTGCGGCAGCATGTCACATGCAAACACATGGGGCCCTGGAGGGCAGGGGTGGGGGAACTGAGTACTCCGCAGTGCCGCCGGGCCCACCTGTCAGCCATGTTACCCCACTTCAGCAGCAGGCTGCTCGAGTCGTTGCTCACGGGCAGGTCCAGCCGCTCCTTCAAGTGCTTCACGATGCCCTGCTGTTCCAGGAGCACGGGCACGCGGTAGGTGGAAGATACGTCGTGGATACACATGACCTGCCGGCCGGGACAGAACAGGCTGCTGAGACAGGCAGCTCAGGTGGGCCTCGGGAAGGCAGCCCAGCTCAGGAGCAACTGACAGTTTAATTCTGCTGATGCACGGAAGGACACCAACAAGCCGGGTGGGGTGGCACACACCTGAGATCCCAGCACTCAGGAGGCTGAAGCAGGAGGATCACAAGATAGAGCTCAACCCAGGCAACTTAATGACTTAATAAGATTTTGTCTCAGAATTCAATTTAAAAAAAAAAAAATTTTAAGGGCCTGGGGATACAGCTCAGTAAAGAGCTGCAAGCACTAACCTGTTCAGGGTTCACATGACAAAACATGGAAATCTTCTCCTTCACAGCCATCTCAATGGGCGTGGAACTCCGGCAGACAATCTGTTGGGGTGAGTTTGCTCGTTCAGCAAATAGGAGCTGAGTGGCCCTGTCACTGGCCACTGTGTCCAGTTCTCCCACCTCAAGGAGCCCAGGTGAGGGTACACCAGTCACCCCGGGCCCTCAGGACTGGAAGCCCAGCAAAATGCAGGAGACCAAGACTCAGGAAGCTGAGGCATGAGGATCACCATGAGTTTGAGGAAAGCCTGGGCTACATAGTGAGTTTCAGGCTAGTCTGAACTACATCCTGAGACCCTTCCCCACTCCACTCCCCCAAAAAAGAATAGTAAATTAAAATAAATACCCAAGCATAGTGGTGCATGCTTGTCATCCCAGTACTTGTGAGACTGAGACAGGAGGATCACTGTGAGTTCAAGACCAGCCTGAGCTACATTGTAAGTTCAAGGCTGGACCAAGCTACATGGCAAGACACTGTCTCAAAAAAAAAAACTGGGCCAGAGATATAGCTCAGCAGCATAAGTAAACACAAGATCCTGAGTTCAATTCCTAGTACAAAAAAATAAAATAAAATAAAATAAAAAACATGGAGGTAATCCTCCAAGATGCCCACAGCACTCACTCACCAGATCTGGGGACAGCCCCAGGCCCCTCAGCGCACGGACACTGTTCTGCGTGGGCTTGGTTTTCTGTTCCTTGGTGGCGCTGGGCTAAAAAGGAATGGGTCCTGTCAATACCCTGTGGGTCCAGCTCTTCGGGGTAAGTGGCAGCCCCCATGCCCAACAAGGGCCACAAAGCATCATAGGAAAGGTGGGCCAGGTGGCCGGGCACACACATGTGCGAAGCCCACCTGCGGGACCAGGCTGACATGAATGTTGTAGAAATTCTCTCTCTTTGCCTTGAACTGGAACTGTCTGAAGGCTTCCACGAACGGCATCCCCTCAATGTCTCCGATGGTGCCGCCCAGCTGGGAAGAGAAGACAGAAGCAACTGGCAATGAGCAAACATCTTCCGTGGCACACAAGTAGCAAATGCCTTCCTACCATGAATGCCCATGTCTGCACAAGAACAAAAGCTTGCCAGTGCACCACGCCACTGAATTAGATGCTTACAATGGATCTGATCGTCATGGTGGCACAGGTCTCGGATCCAGCACTCTGGGAGGCCGAGACAAAAGGGTGGCAAGTTCAAGCCCAGCCTGGGTAACTTAAAACAGAGGAGAATGATAAGCTCATTTCAACAAATGGCCCCAGTTGGCAGGTCGAACTCTAACCCAGGGACAGTACCATAGAAGTGACAGCTATTGGCTCTGCCTGGATCCCCAGATGTAAATTGTGAGCATCCTCCCCACCCTCTCCCTCATTATTTTTTTTTTCTCTCTCTCTCTGTCTCTGTCTCTGTCTCTCTCCCACCCTCTTGCCTTGCCTGCTGTATTTGAGCAGGCTCCTTTCAATGTCAATTCCTATTATTAAAATATGCTGGTTTTCTGAAACAAATAGTAGCAAAACCCCCATGAATATGCCTGGCAGCATAATCCTTCAATAAATGTCAACTTTACTTTACAATGTATTTCCAATAAGGTTACTTAAAGCTTTTTGCTTTAGAGTAACAGAAAATTCACCTTAACCCATTCATTCTCATCATATTAAATAAAGTCAATCACATAGATCTTAAAATTATCTATGTGGGCATGGTGGCACACGCTGCTAATTGCACCAACAAGGGAGGCTGAGGCAGGAGGATCACAAATTCCAGCCCAGCTTGGATAGCTTAGTGACTTAGTAAGACCCTGTCTCAAAAATGAAAAGGGCTGGGGAAATATCTCAACGCAAAGGCTCTGGGTTCAATCCTCAGTGCCACAAAACAAAATTAAAAATTAAAACTAAAATAAAATTCTTTAGCACTTAAGGGTCCTACTATGGTACATGGTCAACACTGTAAGTGAAGGGCTGGGACATATTTAAGACAATCTTCTCCTAAATAGCTCAGAGTATGACCAGGAAAACAACACAAAGTTAAATAATAAGCAGCAGCAGAACCTGAGTGGTACATGATGCAATCCTAGCACTCAGGAGGCTGAGGCAGGAGGATTACTGTGAGCTTGAAGCCAGTCTGGGCTACATAGTGAATTCAAGGCCAGCCTGACTGCATAGCAAAAATCTGTCTCAAAAAAGAAAACAGTAAGTAAGTAAATGAAGAGTAAAAAGTTCCAAGCATGAGTTTGGGGCTATACCTTAGTGGTGGAGCGCCAGGTGCATAGCAAGTACAAGGCCCTTGTCTGAGCCCCGTCCTCCTTCCTGCCCCGAATCACCCCTCTTCACTCACAGCCTCAGCCAAGATGGGGGTCCTTTCCAAGGGCCCTCATCTCTGGCTGCACGTTGCTCCCTAGCACAGCGCCCCACATGCACTTTACAACAACCCAGCTAGCAATCACCATGATTCCAGCCTTCCTGCCCGGCTGAGCTGCAGCCGGTAGCTCAGCCTGTGCCTGGTACTCTGTGACCACCACCTGGGGCAGTGACTGGGATGGACAGAGGCCTCTGAAAGTGACCAAAACCCCAATGGGACCACACCAGATACACTGAAAATCGCCTCACTGTGGAAGAGATCAGTTTTCACTAACTTTGATTCATACAACAAAACATAATCAGAGAGCTGGGCTGGTGGCTCACACCTGCGAGCCTAGTCCTTGGGAGGCTAAGGCAGGAGGCTTATCACGAGTTCAAGGCCAGCCTGGGCTAAACAGGCTGAACTACATAGTGAGACCCTGTTTCAAAAAAACAAAGAAATTAGAATTTAAGCTTCCTCTTCCCACAAACAGGTAAGAATATATGATATGACTTTACTGTAAGAGAGTAATAAACCTTATTATGAAATTCCAAGAAGCAAAAACATATACATCATAGGCAATCAGGAACTTGGTGGAGACGGGTTGGGGGTATCAGTAACCACAAGACACAAGAATCTAATGGAGCCGAGCGTGGTGGCTCATGCCTGTAATCCCAGCACTCGGGAAGCTGAGGCAGGAGGATCATTGCAAGTTTGAGACCTAGGCTACAAAGTGAGCTCAAGGCCAGCCTGAACTGCACAGCAAGACCCTGTCTCAAAAAGACAAAAAAATCTAATGGAAACAAAATTTTGTTTTTGAGAAGAAAAGAAATACTCTTCGGTTTTTGGTTGGGAGTCAGGAAGGAATAGAAAAAGGAAACCAAAATTGTAAACGTTATTCGCGTCTGCCCTCATATGGCCAATGGCGGTACTGCAGTTCCTTCAGAAGTTGCCTCTGCAAGATCTGGGGATCATGGTACCAACATGTCCAGAAAACTTTAGTCTGTTGGTATCAGCAGATTGCCGTGAGTTCCAGGCCATCTTGAGCTACACAGTGAGCTCAAGGCTAGCCTGCACTACAACTCGAGACCCTGTCTCAAAAACCAAATGAAACATTTTATGGAAGGAATCTTCCTATTGGAAGACAACCTTTTTAAAATTTTTGTACTGGGGATTAAACTCATGACCTTGTGCTTGCCAGGCAGGCACTTAAGCCACTGAGCTAAATCCCTGGCCCCAAACTTTTATTCTTTTAACCATGCCAGGTATAAATGACCTCTAGTTTGTGCTTCAATGACCTGGCCTAAAATGAACAAAGCCTGTTCGCTCCCCAGCTTCAGGAAATTGGGGACCTAACCTGCAGAGATTCTGATGACAACAGCCCCTTCCCTTGAGAACCAAGTCACTCCAGAAGCCCTGTGAGTAGTGTGCAGACACAGCAGAGGACTGAACCTGACTTACCTGGAGCACCAGACAGTGCCTGCCCAACAGCTGCAGGGAGAAACTCTCGTTGGCCTTCAATTTACAATCCTCCTGCCTCAGCCTCCCAGAGTGCTAGGACCACTTTGCCACAGTTCTACCTCCTCCTCCTCCTCCTCCTCCTCCTCCTCCTCCTCCTCCTCCTCCTCCTCCTCCCCCTCCTCCCCCTCCTCCCCCTCCTCCTCCTCCTCCTCCTCCTCCTCCTCCTCCTCTTCCTCCTCCTCCTCCTCCTCTTCCTCCTCCTCCTCCTCCTCCTCCTCTTCCTCCTCTTCCTCCTCTTCCTCCTCCTCTTCCTCCTCCTCCTCCTCCTCTTCCCATTTCTTGTCTCCTTCTTCCTTCTTCTCCCTTCTTTGCTCTTTTTTCTTTAAGATGGTGATCTCACTATGTTCCCCAGGCTGTCTTCAACTTCTAGACTCAAGTGATCCTCCTGCCTCAGCTTCTTAAGTAGCAGGGATTACAGACACATACCACCAAAACAATTAAGACTGTGAATCTGTGGAATACTTCTTTGTAAAAAGGTGACAAAGTAAGTTGCACTTACCCCAGAATGAAACATAAAAGCTTAGTTCCAAGATGATTCTCAAAAACAACAGCCTGGGGCTGGGGCAATAGCACCAAAACTAAACTACACATGTCTAGCTGTGATTAATGTCATTAGAAACATTTGCAGGTAAATATCATGCTATAGAAGATTCATTGTGTTAGCACTTGCCAAACATGCATGTAGCCCTGGGTTCAATTGCCACCCCAAAAAAAATCATAAAAATTAGAAAAGAAGCATTTCCTTTTTCCTTAATGTAAACTGGTATGGAAGAAACAATCAGAGAAGCAGGCATGGTGATGCACACCTATAATTCCAGCACTTGGGAGGCTGAGGCAGGAGAATCACCATGAGTTTAAGGCCAGCCTGGGCTACATAGTGAGTGTAAGTCCAGCCTGAACTACAAAGTGAAATCTTTTTTCTTTTGTTTTATTTTATTTAAAGAAAGACTAAACAAAACAGAAAACAGGTAGAAATAATACATACTTTCAAAGAAAAAAATGAACAGTAAGAAATCACTAAGTTGATGATTACATATTGTCCTCTTACAAATAGTTGTGTAGTGAAATTTTGTTTCAAAAAAAAAAACAACTAAAAATTGTATTTGTTTTTAAAAGGACTTTTTTAAAAATTTTGTATAGAACATTACATTATATATTTATATCATGTTTGTTGATCAGCCAGCCACACAGTTCTAGTAGTATAACACATACTTAGTATGGTTCAATGCATTTAGATTTTTTTTTTGAGACACAGTCTTACTTTGTAATTCAGGCTCACCTTGAACTCCCAACAATCTTCTTACCTCAGCCTTTACTGTGCTGGGATTGCGCACATGGGCTCCATCACCCAGCTTACATTTATATTTATCAGCTATACCACTAACACAATGATGCTTCCATGCAGCATATTTATCTGCAAGTGTTTCTAATTACAACAGTAGCAGTTAGTATGTATATGGCTTTGGTTTTGAGACACGGTCTTACTATGCAGTTCAAGCTAGTCTTGAACTCACTGTGTAGTGCTGGGATTATGGGCGTGCACCACCATACCTGGCTTAGTTTTGTTTCTTTGAAACAGGGTCTTACTATGTTACCCATGAGGCCCCTGCCTCAGCCTCTTGAGTAGCTGGTATTACAGATGTGCACCCAGCTGGCTAAAGTATATTGATTGAGCACCTCCTAAATGCCAGGCATTACTAAATGCTTTATACTATGGCATGAAATCGTTTCAACAACTGTGTTTTCTCAACTTCTTATTATAATACTACATTATTACCATATTGTTACTGGCGAGTACACTGAAGTGCTGACTAATGTACCCAAAGCCATACGGGCATCTTAATACTAGCTAATAATTTGGGGGCAGGGCACTGGAAATGGAATCCAGGGTCTCAACTCATGCTAGACAGGAATCCACTTCTGAGCTATGTTCCCAGCCCTAGCTAGTAATTTCTAAGCACTTCTCATATTTCTGATACCATTCTAAGTACTAAGTGTAGAGATTTATTTAATTCTCAAAAGAATGAGTTAGGTATTCTCATTATGCCCATTATTTATCCCCCTCCCCGCTTATTTCTGTTTTTTTTTCAAGACAGGGCCTCACTATATAGCCCAGACTGGCCTCAAACTGGTGGTGACCCTCCTGCCTCAGCCTCCCTAGAGTGGTGGGATTATGACCGTGCAGCACACCTGGCATTAAGCATGCTCTTCTTTCCTTAAATTGAAACACACTTCTCTTAGTTGAAACTCACTTCTCTTTTCTACCACCTGACTTCCTAACTCAATCTCCGAAAGCACTTTGAAAATACTAACAATGTGCACTGCAACATATTCTGCCACATACAGCCAGGGCCACTTGCAAGCTTCTGACAGCCAAACTATGCCCGATGCAAGCCCAGTCCTAACACTGACCTCTGAGCTCCTCATGCCCCAGGAGTTCATGCAATTACTGCCTTACTTGTCCACTGACTGGTGATCGCAAGGAAAGGGTTAACTAGGCTGCCCTAGCTTCTAGACCTGGTCCTGTAGCCTGGGGTCATCTGTCTGCACCTGCCGCCAAGTGCTGCAGAGCAGGAGGTGAGACAGCAGCACACACACTTAGAATGGAAGGCCTCGTGCTTACCTCTATGACACAGATCTGGGGCTCTTCCATGTTCCCATCCACTGGTACCTTAGACTGATTCATAACCCATTCTTGGATGGCATCGGTGATGTGGGGGACAACTGCAGAAAGAAGTCACACACTGAAGCTCACTCATGCCCACCATTGAGGAAAGTACCCCAGACCTCCAGAACCACCCAAGTAATCCACAAATTAGACCAGCTCCAGGGCCTCTGTGACCATCTTCCCTCATGACAATAGCATGCCCTAATTTGGTGGGAGTCTCTTAATATTGGGCCTTTATAAGCGACACTAACCAGTCAAAGAGATCAAGAAACAAAGCAGCTGGGTGCAGTGATGCACAATTGTGACTGGAAGACACAGGAAGCTGAGATAGGAGGATCACTAGGCTGTGCAGGGCCAGCTCAGACTACGTAGTGAGTTCAAGGCCATCCTAAACTATATAGGGAGTGTTGGGCTCTCAAAAACAAAACAAAAAAACAATGCAAGAGCTGAGGATTTAGCTCAGTGGTGCAGCACCTGGCACCACTGCATGAACCCCTGTCAAGCATGAGACTCTGAGTTCAATTCTCTGTACAAAAAAAAAAAAAAAAATACAATGGAGAAGTGCCATCATTATCTTTGTGGAAACCAAAACCAGGAAATATCTATCTTGCCAACTCAAAACTGTGTAGAAAGGGCAGCTGGGTCAGCCAGGGAAGAAAGAGAGGGCACCCAGCTGTACGACATCAGGTGGGCACTAGCCAGCAGGGAGAGGATGGAGATGAGGCCAGTGACGCAATGCGTGAGCAAGAAGCCAAAAGGGCAGTCTCCATTAGCACCTGAGCCCCAGGGCCCCTGGGCAGGGCGACAAAAGAGCCCAACATTCCTGACCTCTGCTAAAGAAACACAAAGGCAACAGGCCACGGCCGCTAGATACAAAACTCTAATTTGATACCGGAAGTAAAAATGCTGACTTCCGGGTTACATGCCAAGAAAGTGCCTCCCATTGGTGGATTGAGAACAGCTCACTGCGCATGCCCACTTGGCCCCCAGTCCAAGCTGGTGAGGTCTCCTGTGCCCTTCCCCTTCTCTGGCAGCTTAGGACTCACAGGGGTTACTCTGCCCCGTTATCGTTATAGCAGCATGTCAGGAGTAAAAAGGAACTCCCTCCTGTGGCTCTTCCCAGGGCCGCCACTTGGGGGACAATTAACTCACAGCACCAGCGAGCTCCCCAACAGCCACAGTATCCTGGCTAGTACTCAGCCTAACTCAAGTGTGTACTTCTCAACTGGTGATCCAACTTAAAAATGACTCAAAGAGGCCAGGCACCATATTCACCCAACCACACAGGAATACAAAGTGTCAGGACCCCTACAGGTGCCAAGGAGTTCTTCTAAGACATCTTGGAGTCATCTCACCCTGAGAAGGGCTGGTAGCTGGGGCCTCCCATCACTCCCCAATACTCACTTTTCAAAGATGAGTGGTCACCATCCATGCAAAGAAACAAGATAAAGGAAAAAAATAAAAACATTAAAACACAGGATCTGGGTATGGTGATGCATGCCTGTAATTCCAGCAATCAGGAGGCCAAAGCAGGAGGACCCCAATGAGTTTGAGGCCAGCCTGCACTCACAGTGAGAGCTGGGTGTCAAAAATAAACAAATAGTGGCTGGGGATTCAGCTCAGTGGTGTAAGCACCTGCCTGGCAAGCTCGAGGTAGTGAGTTCAATCCCTGATATCAAATAAATAAAGCACAAGAGCCAAGCATGGTGGCGTAAATCAGGCTGACCTCGAACTAAGTATTCCAGGTTGGCCTCAAACTTGTGTGATTCTCCTGCCTTAGCCTCCTGAGTGCTGGGATTATAGGTGTGTGCCACCATGCCAGGTTTTCTTTTGTAACTAATGTCATTGTTCTTAGTCTATCCATTGTTCCCCACCTTTGGTTTAGAAAATTTATGGAGAACCATTTATCTTTTAATCAGAATGAAAATTATTTTTTTGGCATTTATTTATTTTGGTGTTTTAAGACAGGGTCTCATTGTGTAGTCCAGGCTGGCTTTGAACTCACTATGTGGCCACAATGGCCTCCAACTTGAATTAATCTTCCTACCTCTGCCTCCTAAGTGCTGGGATTACAGATCTACATCACCATGCCGGGCTCCTGTGCTTTATTTATTTATTTGATATCAGGAATCGAACTCATGACCTCGAGCTTGCCAGGCAGGTACTTATGCCACTGAGCTGAATCCCCAGCCCCTATTTATTTTTGAGACCTGGCTCTCACTGTGTAGTACAGGCTGGCCTCAAACTCATTGGAATCCTCCTGCTTCAGCCTCCTGATTGCTGAGATTACAGGCATGCATCACCATCCCCAACTCCTGTGTTTTAATGTGTTTAATTTTTTCCTTTATCTTGTTTCTTTGCATAGATAGTTCAAGGCCTATGATATCTGAGGATCCTAAATACAAGCCCTGCCTCCCACAAAAGGAAAAGAATGCAGAGATTTGAAAGGGATGAAAACGTAGATAGTTCAAGGCCTATGATATCTGACTTCTGTGTGTACAGCCCAGCCCCACGCATCTGCAGCCCCTCATACCTTGCACTGTCTTCCCCAGGTAGTCTCCGCGCCGCTCCTTCTTAATCACATGATGATAGATCTTCCCGGTGGTGATATTATTGTCCTTGTAGAGATTAATATCCAAGAACCTTTCATAATTTCCAAGATCCAGGTCAACTTCTCCACCATCATTTAAGACAAACACTTCACCTGGAATGAAAAGGCAATGCAGAAATTAAGCACTTGCCTCCATGAGACTATTTTTCAAAGACTGACAGACACATTTTTATTAAAGGTTTAAAAGAATTGTATTCACAGTGATGGTCTATTACCATTTCCTTATCTTGATGGGGAATATAACAATTCCAGTCTATCGACAAAAATGCATCAGAAACATTATATTCTACCATGGTGATTTTTTTAAAATCCCACTGAAATTCTGGCAGGTTTAGAAAAACTAAGCCAGGCATGGTGGCACATACCTGTGATCCTCTCAGAGGCCAAGACAGGAGGATCCTAAATACAAACCCAGCCTGGGCAATTCAGCAATTTGGAAAAATTTGACATCAAAGGTAAAAAATAAATACATGAAAGAAATGTAACTCAGGGTAAAAGCCCTATGTTCAGTCCCAGTACTGAAAAAAAAGAGAGACAGAGACAGAGACAGCATGTGAATGAAAAAGAAAGGGAAAAAAAGGGGAGAGAAAGCACAGTGGTACAGTACACGCCTGTAGTCCCAGCTCCAGGAAAGGCTAACTCAGGAAGATTACAAGGTGAGCAATAGTCTGGGTAACTTCATGAGACTCTGTCTCAAAACGTGATGAGGGAGGGGGTGTTTCTCACTGGTTGCGTGCCTGCCTCACATATTTGAGGCCCTGGGTTTTAGCCTCAGTACTATGAGAAAAAAAAAAGATTCAGCATTTCTTAGCTCATCATATACCACATGAAAAAATGACTTTTTTGTTGTTTTTTGGTCTTTTTGAGACACGATCTCACTACACAGTTCAGGCTGGCCTTGAACTCACTTTCCAATGTGTTGGTGCAAGAGTGTAATCTCAATACTCAGGAGGCACAGATAGGAGGATCACTGCAAGTTTGAAGCCAACCTGGGCTACATAGTTTTTGTTTCTGTTTTGAGATAGAATCTCACTCAAGGCATAGGCTGGCCTTGAACTCAGAGCAATCCTTCTGCCTCAGCCTCCCAAGGGCTGGAATTACAGGTGTGCACCATCATGCCCGACTGGGCTACAAAGTAAGAAAGAGAAAAGGAGCGGGGTTCTGGGGAGGAGCTAAGTGTGAAGGCCTTATGTTCACTTCACAGCACAAGGAGGGGAAAAAAGTTCCAGACAAATCTGGATGAATCAGTTGCCCTAAGCAGTTGTTGCACTCAGGGATTGCAAGGAGAACAATTACATACAGGACATAGAATTTATAATATTGTTTTATGATAGTCACCCAGAGTTAAATACAAAAAAGTACAGGAAATCTGTCCATAGCACTAAAGACCCAGAATATTCAGCCAAGGGCCTGGATCCCACAGCAATGTCCTGCATGAATCCAGCTGAAGACCTAGAGCCCTTGACAATGCTTCCCACAAGACCAACTGGAGATCCAAAGCCCACAATAAGGACTCATGCAAGTCTGTTTTACAGATCTGTACTGGAAAAGCCCAAAGGTCAGCAGTGGAAGCTAGAAAGTCTATGCCAGTGAAGTGAAGGATCTGTACCAGTAGATTGAGAGTTCTGCAGTAGCACCAAGAAGCGATGCTCAAAATAAGGATCAGGGCTCCCTTAAAAATTACCACAGCCGAGAGTCTGGAAGAACGTGGTGGATAGATAGCAGCAGCCTTGGAGGCTCTCTAAAAAACCACACTTGAAATCCAGGAATGAGGCCAGGCAGGAAGTCCTAGGCAAGGGGTGATATTCTTTGCTGAGCCAGGAACGAACTAAATTAAGAGAAACCAACTGGAAATGCAATTCCGGTGATAGAGCAGGAACAGATAAGGTCTCAGCATGGAAGCCAGACCTCGCGCCACTGGAAACTGCGATTTGAATCACCTGCAGCCGCTGTTGTGTCCTGGTCGGCACAACGGGGAGAGAGGCATGAAAGCTCAGAGAGTGGGAAGCATTGGAAGGAGTTAGGATCAGGACTGGCCAGGTGCCCTGCATCAACCTGCAGTGAATGAGCAAATCAGGACCCTTCCAGAGAGAAGGAGGCTTCAGCGGAGGACATACTCGGACTGGGCAGACTTCCCAGAACGAGATGCTGCAGTGATTTCAGTCACATATCCCCCTCTCAAGCAGGATTGGAGGGGAGTGCCTGGCCTAAGAGATGCCGCTAGCTGAGACCAAATAGGCTAGCCCAACTCAGGTCCCAGTGCCTGGAGGTGCACCCTAGTGGTGAAGCCTTCAGGAGGTTGACCTGGAGGGGCAGGCACAGAAGAGGCTTCCCAGGTCTGTGTCTCCCTGGTGCTGCTGCAGTGGGTGGGAACACCCAGCCGGTGCAATTCAAACAGATTGTGGCCAACAGGGAAGAAAGCTGGGCCTCCTATAAATGCTTAAATATAAGGAACAAAGAATATGGGAAGAGGGAGCAACAAGAAAGGGTCCTCGGCCCCCAATCCTGAGAAACATACAATATCAGACACGGAACCAATAGACATAAAGCACTATCTCCAGAGCCTCATAGATGAGTTCAGGAATGAAGTTATTAATGACCTGAAACAAGACATAAGCAGAATAGTTCGAGAAATGCTAAGCACTGCCCAAGAAAAAACAGATGGTGGAATGGAAGAACAGAAAAAAAGGGGAGAATTGTTTGATGGAGAAGATAGAGAAAACATAGAATACGTAAAACAGGTTCAAAGAGATTACCAGGAAACTAAAAACTCTATCGAAAACTGGCATAACAGCTTGAAAGAAACTAAGGGCAGATTATCTGAACTGGAGGGCAGATTTGTAAGGTGGGAGCATGAAATGAAAAACTTCTTAAAAATAACAAAAAAACAAACAGCAACAATACAAAAACTAGAATATGATAAGAGGATCTATAACTTAAGAATTAAGAACATAAGAGAAGAAGTGGAGACACAAACAAATGGACTACAAAAGCTATTCACAGAAATAATCCAAGAGAATTCCCCTAATTTAGCAAATGGTAACGATACTCAGATATATGAGGCATACAGGACTCCAGCCACCTACAACCCAAACAGAGCTACACAAAGGCATATAATAATCAAAATTCCAGAAATCCAATATAAGAACAGAATATTAAAAGCCATCAGAGACAAGAAACAGATCACTTACAAGGGAACACCCATCAGAATTACAGCAGACTTCTCAAAGCAAACCATCAACTCACGAAGAGCGTGAGGGGAAATAATTCAAGCTTTGAAAGATAATAACTTGCAGCCAAGATTGATATATCCTGCACAACTGTCCCTAGAAATTGATGGAAAAACAAGGTGCTTCCAGGATAAAGAGGAACTAGGGGAATTTGCAACCACTAATTCAACTCTACAGAGAATACTGCAGGATAGTCTAAAAAAGGAAAATACCAAGATTCCAGAAATAGTGGCAGAGAGGCCACAATGAATGGAGCAGAAAACGAAATGAAGAAGACAAACTGACAACAAACGACAGAAAAAGAACTCAACAGAAATGAGGCAGAGAAGATCGGATGGTAGGAACAGCTATTTTGGAGAAAACAAGACATCATAATAGCTAGTGCTGATTTTAGTATCATCTTGTTTTGAAGTCCCATCAAACTTGTATTCTTCTGTCTCCATTGGTCTTAAAAGGTTGTATCTTATTGGATTTTATTTTATATGATAATGTAAGCAAAAACTTTTATAGACAAGGAGTTTACATAGAAATCATTGTTCATTTTCTGTTAATTGGCTCTAAATACCCAATTGTCATTGGGTATAATGTCATTCTCTTGAATGGTTTTATAGTGTCTTGATATGTTTGGTACTACAGTATAAGAAGTTATACTCAAAGATTTCAAGGAAAGAGACACTATGATAACTATTTTTATGTCAGGATATCTTGTGGTGAAACACTATTTTGCTTAAATGGTTATGTTTTGACCTGCGCTGTTCTGTTGTTATGCCCTCTTTTATCTCAATCCCCTTTTTTTAAATTATTTACTTTTTTCTTTTTATTTTTTTTAATTAAGGGAAAATAAATAAAAAATAGCAGGACACATTATAGTAACCTACTTTGATTTCCTATTAACTTGATTTGAAATGCTGTATTGCCCTCACCATCTTGCTTTGACTGATTTTCCTCTATTCTGCTTTGCTTGATAGTACCAAGTTCAAAAGTATAGGCATAACTGTGAAGACAATAAGAATCATTATGACGCCCATTCCGGTTGACTATCATCTTCTTTTAAAATCCTGTAATGTCTCCAATGCTTTGGTTTTATTCTTTACTGTTTAGTTCAATTTTATTATAACTGCCAATTCTTCTTAAAATAGCAAGAGGCAGTATGGTAACCATTGTTGATCACCTTATATTTTGTTTTTACATTATATTATGTCCATCCTTTTGATTTGACTGACTCTGTTCTGATATATCGCATTTGGTTTTACTCTCTTCAAAAAAAGTAATAAGAACTGTGGGAGTAATAAAACCCAAAATGTGTAATTGTCATTGTACAAAAGAAAAGAAAAGAAAGTGCTCTAAAGGATATAACTGCATATATGTTTAAGTGTTTAAGACACATAACCATATTACTGAGTGTTTTTTTGATCATTGAACAAAACTGTTTGCACTCTCACTGTTTGAAGGTCCACTTTATATGCTTCAATTTTGTAACTTGAACAACTATTTCTAAGATGAGAATATATAATCTATTAACTAGTGATTTCTTACTCTTTATTTTTTAAATTTTGTATTACTTGTACCCTTTTTCTGTTTTTTTCCTTTTTCTCCTTAAATAAAAAAAAAAAAATTACCACAGCCATTCTCAGCAGCAATGTGGTCTCGAGCTCCTCCATCAATGACCATGTGCAGAATACATATTAGGGAAGCCAATGTAAAAAGCTCCTCCAGGAAAACCAACAGCTCTAAACAACAATGCTTAGGAGTACCCACAATGCTATACTCTTCCTCTTTATGTCTCCTTTTATGCTGGCAACTTTCCTTAATGAGAGCTTATCTCAGCCGGGTGTGGTGCCTTACATCTGTAATCCCAGCACTCGGGAAGCTGAGGCAGGGGGCTTGTTGCGAATTTGAGACCAGCCTGGGCTACAAAGTGAGCTTAAGGCCAAACTGAACTGCATAACGAGACCCTGTCTCAAAAAGGAAAAAAAAAAAAAAAGAGCTTATCTCAATTTTTAAAAATAACATAAATAGGGCTAGGGGATTTATGTCAGATGCATAAGCACCTGCCTGACAAGTGTGAAATCATGAGTTCAAACCCTGGTACAAATAAATAAATAAATAGAGCTGGAGATGGAATTCAGCACTAAGCACTTGTGTAGCACGTGCAAGGACCTGGTTTAATCCCCAGTATCAAAAATCTCCCAAAAACTGAAAATGTGGTGTTAGAAGACAAGACATTCAATACCCTGGGAGTCATGGGCTAAGAAAAGATGAAGGAACAAAGGATTTCTGTTGCTTGATTGGGCTGGCTACATAATAGGTTCATTTAGCAAAGCTTATTGGGGGCTGAGGATATAGCTCAGTGGCAAAATTGCTTGCCTGGAAAGCACAAGGTCCTGAGTTCAATTCTTAGTACCAAAAACCTCATCAGAGTTGTCCAACCCATCAGCGTTGTCAGACTAAAATGCACTTTCCTGCATGCAAGTAAAGATGTTTTTACAAATGGTATGGAAAGGCTGATTCCTTTTTAAATATCAGCATTCATCGTACTTACTCCAGGCAGGGAGAAATGTTAAGAATATTAGCTGTATGGTAAAATAAAACTAAGCATGATCCATGGTAAGAGCTACCATGTTTCCAAAAGGCTTGACTAATTGGGAATGTCATCAGCCACAGGAAAGATGTACCACTGATGATGAGGACATTCACTCATCCCTGCAGAATTAGCCTGCAAGTGTATTTAGACAGATTCTAGCCCAAAGGGAGAACCCCAAACACAAGAAGGGATTGGGGTTGGACGGATACAGTTCTCTTTCCTACCGTGCTCATAGGGCGAAAAGGTCCCCGCATCAATGTTAATATAGGGGTCAATTTTGATGGCCGTAACTCGGAGTCCGCATGATTTCAGGATGGTCCCGATGCTGCTGGCGATGATCCCTTTGCCAATGCCGGAGATGACCCCACCAGTGACCAGGATATACTTCATTGGGGCAGCAGTAGCCAGGTAGCAACCCTTGGAAGTAACCTGTGAGGCAGGACATTCAGGATCAGAGAAGAGAAACATTTTCTCAAATAGCACAGTAGTTTTTTGTTTCTTTTGGTACTGGGCATCAAACTCACAGCCTCACACTTTCCAGGCAGGCACTTACACCACTGAGCTAAATCCCCAGCCCCTAAAGCAGAGTATTTTTGAGATTCTACCTCACCCTGGAAAGAATGGCTATTATCAAGAAATCAACCAATAACAAATGCTGGAGAGGCCGTGGGAAAAAGGAACCCTTCTCCATTGTTGGTTGGAATGCAGACTGATGCAACCACTGTGAAAATCAGTGTGGAGATTCCTCAAAAAACTGGGATTGGAGGTCCCATTTGACCCAGCTATTTCCCCTTCTGGGTATCTTCCCAGAAGAATAAAAAATATCATACCACAGCGATATATGTGCATTCATGTTTATGGCGGCACATATAATAGCTGGATCTTGGAAACAACCTAAATGCCCATCGACTGTGGAATGGATAAAAAAGATGTGGTATTTTTATACAATAGAGTACTACTCAGCCATAAAGAAGGATAAACTGGTGACTGTTATAGGTAAATGGAAGAAACTTGAGACCATGCACATAAGTGAAATAAATCAGACACACATGTATAAACATCATATTGACTCACTGGTGTGAGAAGCTGAAAGAAACAACATATATATACGTGTGTGTGTATAAACACATACACAATATATATCATTGTTACTCCAAAATTATTGTTTTGAAATTTTTCTCTTTAAAATAAGATAGACTTTTTAAAAAAATAAAGCACAATGTTTTATTACTTCAACTAAGTGCTTCAAATTTTTTAAACAAAACAGAATCTTGTAGGGTTTTTAATTTGAGGGGATTTTTGTTTGGTTTTGTTGTGTTTTTGAGACAAGGTCTCACTATATAGTCCAGGCTGGTCTTGAACTCATAGCAATCCTCCTGCCACAGTCTCCTGAGTGCTGAAATTAGCAGGAGTGTACCATCCCACCTCCCAGTTTTCTATATCTTTCTTAAATCTGTTCATTGGAATCAAAATACAAACTTTGGAAATGTTATTCAGTGTCAAAAGGAAATGAACTATCAAGCCATGAAAACATAGAGAAGCCCTAAATGCATATCAGTAAATGAAAGAAGCCAGTCTAAAAATGCTACAGACTGTCTGGCTCCAATTATATTATTGTATAATTGTATACAATATATACAATTATATATACAAGGAGGAAAAGGAAAAACTATAGAATCAGGCCAGACATAGTGGCACACTTCTGAGATCCCAGAACTCAGGAGGGAAGCAGGAGGATCTCTTTGAGTTTGAGGCCAGCCTGAACTATATAGGGAGACCTGGTCTCAAAAAAAGAGTTCTTGGGCTGGGGGTTTGGCTCAGCAGTGTAAGCGCCTACCTGGTAATTGTGAAGTTGTAAGTTCAGTCCCCGACACCAGGAAAAAAAAAAAAAAAGAAGGAATTCTGATTCAGATCAGACTCATCACTGGCCCTGGGCCTGTCACCTAAATTCTCAGGGAGCCTATGAAGGCTCTGTCTCCACTTTTCTCTACAGCTTTTGCACCTCAGGAGAAGCAACAGAGATCTTTGACTCACAGATGCTGAAATTTTATTATCTCATCAGCAGAAAATGTTCTCTGATGTCCAGTGTAACAGGAGCATAGTGTACATGTTTAAAAACTAGCTATGCCTGTAATTCCAGCACCAAGGGAGGCTGACACAGGAGGACCACAAATTTTAGCCCAGCCTGGGCAATTTAGTAAGACCCTGTCTCAAAACAAAAAGGGCTGGGAATGTAGCCCAGGGCAAAGGCTCTGGGCTCAATCCCTAGCACTGCAAAAAAAAAAAAAAAAAAAAAAAAAAAAAAAAAAAGAAGAAGAAAGAGTTGGTTATGGGGGTTTTGGAGATCTCCAGTTCAGTGTCAGAACACTTGCCTAACATGCGCTTGCCAACACCCTGGGTTTGATCCTATTCCTGCAAAAATAAAGGACAAAAAATAGCTGACTATTGGACTGGAGAAGCAGCTGGGTGTTAGGCCCTGGGTTCCACCTCATTTTTTTTTTTTGAGAGTTGTGGGGGTTGAGACAGGTCTCCCCGTGATATTGTTCAGGCTGGCATTGAACTCACCATGTAACCCAGAAGCTGGTGATGATCCTCTTGCCTCAGCTTCCCAAGTGTTGGGATTACAGGTGTGTACCACCACACCTAGTACCTGTTTATCTTTTAAAACAAACTCTCTTAACTTCAAAAGCTAGCTCACTTAAGGGTTATATTACTTCGGAATTGTGAATTCCATTTGAACTAGCTGACCACAATCAGGGAGAGTAAATTGCAGCTAACCCTGTCTCACCCCAGTGGCCTTGCTAAATCCCTGGCCTGCCATTCTCTGCATATTATACTTAATTAGCCACAACTTAAGCCGATGCATCCCTCCACAAGCCAACTGGCCACCCACTTATCTGAGCTATATTTTTCCCCCTCTGTTAGGTACTGAACCCAGGGTAGCCACACTCCCAGGCCTATTTTATTTATTTTGAGACAGGGTCTCAATCATTTGCTGAGTTGAAGTTGCAATCTTCCTGCCTCAGCATTCCAGAGTGCTGGGGTTACAGGTGTGAGCCCAGCTTCTGAGCTATACTTATAGCCTACAATATTCTCAGTCCAAACCTAGAACCTGCTCCAGTAGATCCTAAATACATGTGAATATTAATTTCTCCCACTCTCCCTGTCCCTGAGAGGCATTCATGAAGGCCATGTCTCCCCAGCCCTCTCTTATTCAGGCTCCTGGGGACCTACTGACAAAACTGGAGGAAGACAAGCAGATTTGTTCACATCTATGATCCTAGACAAGCTCTTCAACTTTTCAAGACCTTAATTTCCTCACTCCATGCCCTACATGGAGAACAGCTGTGCAGGGATTTACAAACAATGCCTAATGCAGGATGTGATGCCACATACCTGTAATTCCAGCACTTGGAAGGCTAAGACAGAAGGACTGCTATGAGTTCCAGTTCAACCCAGGCTGCACAGTGAGTTCAAACCAGCCTGAACTGCATGGTGAGACCCTGTCTCAAAAAACCCAATAACTAAATGAATTCAATAAAATTAAATCACAGCCAGACGTGACGGTGTACAAATGTAACCCTAGCACTCGAGAGACTGAGGCAGAAAGATCCTTGCAAATTCAAGGCCAGCCTGAACTGCATAGCAAGACTCTGTCTCAAACAAACAAACAAACTTTAAAAAAAGACATAAGATCTACTTTTAAAGCACATTTCATACTTTAGAAAGTCATTCTTGAAAAAAAATAAAAATAAAAAAACTTCTTTTCAACCTCTTTGAAACAAACATGTAAATTTGGAAGAGGTTTGAAACCCAGAGAAGTAGCTGGGCATGGTGGTGCACACCTGGAATCCCAGCACTCAGTAGGCTAAAGCAGGAGTTATCGCTGAGTTCAAAGCCTGGGCTACGTATCAAATTTAAGGCCAGCCTGAACTACATGACACCTGTCTCAAAAAAAGAAAGAAGGAAGGAAAGAAAGAAAGGGGAAAGAGAGAGAGGGAGAGTAGGGAAAGGAAAGGAAAAGAAAGAAAAGGAAAGGGCAGGAAAAGGTCAGCTTTTAGCTCTCGTGCTTCCTCAGAGCCCCACAGCTCCCCCAAGGGAAAAGTTTGCTCTTCAGTCATTTGCAGCGGCAGCGGAACACAGTGTTGATCTAATGGGGACAGTGTAGGCAGTAATGCCTAATAAAAAGTGAACAAGCCAGGACATCACTTCAGTTTTTCTAGTAGTCATACAGAAAAACCTAAAACCAGTGGGGTTATTGTTAACAGCCCATCTCTTGTAACCCAGTGTTTGCCCCGCAGTGATCACCCTGGAAATTACTCCTGTGATCCCATTACCCATTTCTGAGGCCAGGCCTCAGAAATCCCTGCCTGTGGTGCAATCTGGACAAGGTATGTGGCCTTCAGAAGTTTACTTAATTTCTTCCCAGGGTCAATCGCCACATGTGGCAGCCAGTAACTCCCACATGAGACTTGCCTCCAGGCCTAGGCCAGTCATAACACAGAGACCCCAAAAGACACAGTCTTGTTGTGTTACAGGCAGCTGAGTTAGTTAGAAATATCATAGGCAGTCAGACAGGACTGGACCCTCAAATGAAGCAAAGCAGAAGTTCAGATACCTTGCAGCCTTGAAAGAGACCTTCACCTCCTGCTGTAGGCCAGATCTCAAGACAAAAGGCAAAGCAAATACAGCCAGGACGCAAATAGCCAGAGTCCAAATAGTTCTTTATGCCCTGAGGAAGTCAGAATCAGCATCGCACCCCCCTACAGGAAGTCACTGCTGTTAAGCATGCCGCTTACTACCCGACTCATTCCTCCATTTGCTCCTAATTTAATCAACTTTACCTGAGCAATTAATCTTATTGTTGACCACAGTTCTGTGCCACCTTATGCCCACCTTGCAAATTCCCATTTTCCCCACCTTTTTGCCTTAAAAAAGTCCCTAGAAAAGACAAGAGTCCTTGGCAACCCCTTCTACCTCTCAGACAGAAGCTTGCTTTCTCTCAATAAATATATTGCCCTCTTAACCCCGTTGTTCCTAAAATTCATTCTTCGATTTTAGAGAACACTAACTCATACCGGACACAGCAGGTTGGGAGTTTCATTCCACTATATCTGTTGCATGTGCTCATTGAAGGAGTAACGTCCCGCCGGACGCCACAAAGGACTTGGTGAATGAACCCCTTTCACGAAGTTGGCGAAGAAACAAAAGTAAGCTAGGAAGCAGTCAGGAAAGCGGCCTCAGTGGACACAGGAAGGCCCCACGGCCTGCAGGGACAGAGACTTTTCGGGTGACAGGATGGCAGTCATATGTGCTCATCCCGCCAAATCCACTGGTCTGCGGCCGTGGAACGGGGCGTGTTCCTGAAGGCCGAGTCCCTGTCCCCTCGCTTTGCTTCTCACTGTGATGGCCCTTTGGGAGTAGCCCACTGACACGGGCCGCCAGGGGCATAGTTTAACGTGGCGCAGGCCGGGACGGCGAGAAAACAGAAAGACCCTGCCATCTGCCCTGTCGCCAGGCTCCCGGACGCCCGCGCGGGGCTTCACTTCCGCCAACGCCATGTCTGGGCTCTCGCGGGGTGGCAGAAGTGGCGCTGAGGGCACACACCAGGGCTGGGGGACACTCCTCTAGGGCTGCCACGGATAGGCTCCGCCTGCACGGGGCACGACAGAATGTCCGCGGGTCCCCACGTCCTGCCGAGAGCTGCAAGCGCAAGGAGCTGGACATGCCCGGCCACCAGATGAACTGGGTCTGCGAGGCAGCGAGGGCGTGGACGCCATCGGGGATGAGACAAAGGCGCACAGCCGCGCGTGTGGAGGGACCGAAGGCGTAGGGCCGAGGTGCGGGGTGGCGCGGCGCCGAAGCGGAAGGGAAGTTACCTGCGCAGCGGTTGTGGTGCCTGCGAGGGTGGCTCCAGCGGGCTCCGCCCCGCTGCCAGCCTGGCGATCACCTGCCCTGCCGGGGAGGGGGCCATCGCCTTGGTCGCCCGGAGTCCCTGCCGGGTCCTTGCTGCCGCCCGCACAGGGCCAGCGAGTGTGGCGAGCCTCCTCACCCAGCTTCCCTGTCCGCGTCGCCGCTGTCCCACTGTCTCACGCTGAGAACTCGGGGTTCGGCCCAGTGGCCCAGACCCCGCGCCTCCGAAACGATCGGGCAGTCCGCGTCCCAGGCCCGCTCAGTCCGGGCCCCGCGCCTCCCTCCTTCTCCCCTGTTGCCTAGAGCTCACTGTACAAAGGCTCGCGGGTCACGCAACAACCGTTGCCAAGGACCCTGGAAATGCCACTCCTCTGGAACCTATGTGCCTTCCCGGAACGCGGCTGGAAAGGCGGCAGCGCTCCGGGGAGAGGAAAACAAGATCCCTCCTGCGCGGGCTCACAGCCTGGTGGACAGGCCACGCTTGCACCGGGCAAGAGTTCCCGGATACAATGTTAGCTGGCCAAGGCTGGGAAGTGGGGGGGGGGGGGACCCAGCTAGTGACTTTGTACAATGTTTGCAGCATGGGTGGTACTAGGAAGTCACTGCGGGGGCTACGCAGTTTAACTTTCCCTTTAACTCACTATGTAGCCAAAGCTGGTATCCGACTCCCAGTGATTCTCCTGTCTCAGCCTCGGTCTCGGTCTCGGGAGTGTTGAGCTTACAAGTGTGCGCCGCCGCGCCCACTCCCACTCGGTGCATAGAAATTCTATGATTGGTTCAAGGGATTCCCAAATTAAACTCTCAAGTCTGAGTCTGTTGTTGTTATTTTCCTCCAGTATTGGGGATTGAATCCCCGGCCTTTGTACTGAATTACATTTCCAGTCCTTTTTTTTTTTTTTTTTTTAGTACCAGGATTGAACTCACAACCTCACACTTGCCACGCAGGCGCTTCTATCACCGAGCTAAATCCCTAACCCCTTGATTTTTTTTATTTTGAGACAGGGTCTCACTAAGTTGCCTAGGCTGGTCACTACCTTGTCATCTTCCTGCCTCAGCCACCCAGAGTGGTGGGATTACAGGCCTGGGCCTCAACTCATTTAGGGTTTCTTATGGCTTTCTTTCATTTTGTTTTTTGTTTGTTTGTTTGTTTGCTTAAGACAGGCTCTCACTGTATAGGGCAGGCTGTCCTTGAACTCACTGTGTGACCCAGGCTGGCCTCAAACTCACAGTGAACCTCCTGCCTCAGCCTTTGGAATGCTAGAATAACAAGCATGCACCATCACACCCAGCCCTTCTTTCTTTTTGAAGTTTGAAAGCACTATACTTAGGACAAAGTTAAGAAATACATTAGAAGGGACATAAAAAGAAGCAACATAAAGAAGATGTATTATGTACAGGTACAACTCCATGTGATGAATGTAATCATTATGTATGGCAAACACATAATGATAAAAAAAAAAAGTTAAACCAGGTGTGATGGCACATCCTGGCATTACAAGCTGCTAAATTAGGTCTCAGGAGACTCAATACAAAAGACAAAAACACATTATAACTGTGGCTGGAGAAGCATTCCTTAAAGACTGGGCCTAATGACTAGGCCTCCCTACCTCCCCAAGGGATAATCAGTATACTATAATTGATATCACCTATTCAATAAAGTCCACATGGACATCAGTCACCCTTGTGGATGATCAGGACCTCCAAATAAGGTCCTTAAGAGCCAATCTCAGCATTCAGGAGGCTGAGGTAGAAATTGGACTGTTGCAAGTTCGAGACCAGCCTGGGCTACAAAGTGAGCTCAAAACCAGCCTGAATTACATAATAAGACCCTGTCTCAAAAAGACAAAAAAAAGTCCTTGTTCTTCTCATCTATCCTTGTTACATGGCCTGCTTCTCCATTGCATCAATGTTAGCTAAGCGGCTATATTTTTTATCTTTTGGTTTTGGTTTTTGGGGTGTTTTTAGGTACTGAGGATTGAATTCACAACCTTGTGCTTGCCAGGCAGGCACTGTGTTGCTGGGCTATATCCCTGGCCCTATACTTGTAATCTTATTGACCATAGTTTTAACCTACATCGTACTCACCTCGTGATTTTGCTCCATAAAACTTCCTTTGGGAAGTGGGTTTCTTGGCAACTCACTTTTGGGTCCCCTCCTGTCTCTCAGGAGCTCTCTCAATCGAATTTCCCTATTCTTAATCTCTTGTTGTTCCTTGTAGACAGGCCACACTGACTCCATTTTGTCCCAGACACATCCAGTTGATAGTGTCTTGGTAGAAGGTGCATGCCTTGAAACATTCCCTCCCTCAAGATAAAAGCATGAGGTCCCATAAGGACAAGAAGCAAAACAGGTTATATAATCTAAGCATGTGCAAAATGAGTTTCTTTGTCTTTTATCTTTCTTTTTTTTTTCAGTACCAGGATCAAACTCACAATCTTATACTTGCCAGGCAGGCACTTATGCCGCTGAGCTAATTCCCCAGCCTTCTTTAACTTACTAAAGTTGCTTATTTATGCTGGCCGGGCGGCAGCCATTTTACTAACCCTTGGTGTGTGTGTTCTTTTATTTTCCCTTTGCTTGCAGAACCCCTATAGTTCCTTAGAGTTTATTCTTCGATTTTGGGGAACATGAACTCAGTGTATCTGACATCTAGCAGGTTGGGAGTTATATTTATTTCCCCTGTATTATTTGGAGGTCCTGTATCACTAGCACTTGAGAGAGACTGAGGCAAGAGAATCACCTCGATTTCAAAACCAGCCTGAACTACATAGTGAGACCTTAATAATAAAATTATTACATAATAATAAAAATTAAAATAATAAAAATAAAAATTAAAAATAAGTTAAAAGACTGGGGATTTAGTTCAGTGGTGTAAGCACCTGCCTGGCAAGTACAAGGTTGTGAGTTTGATCCCCAGTACCACAAAAAAAAAAAAAAAAAACGAAAGAAAAGGAAAAGAAATGAGAGAATGAAACAATTAAATGTTTTGCTTTCATAGAGATTGTATGTGCTAATACTAGATTTAATCCTTCAGATTTAATTTTATCTATTCTGAGTCTGGTAGTTATTTAGGAAACCCTGTGTAATACGTTAAGTGTAGGAAATTCTTTGTTACTTTATAGCCCATAACTGGGTGCCTATTTGCCTTTTAAATCCTTTGCCAAAACTTTGCTGAAATAATAGCAAGCTATTTTTTTTTTTTTTGGTACCAGGGATTGAACTCATGACCTCATGCTTGCCAGGCAGGTGCTTCTACTGCTGAGCTAAACCCCAGACCCACTAATTTTTTTCTTAAATACTAGCAAAAATCATATACATATCCATGTATAATACTACAATTTAAAAATTAACAGTGCTAGATTGGGAATCTAGTTAGTGGTTGAGCATTGCCTAATGACTTCAAGGCCCAGGGTTTGATCTTCAGCTTTACCCCAAAAACAACAAAAAAAGAGAAAACTCCGAATATATCTTGGGCCCACCTGAGGTAAGATAGAAGAAATAAAGTTAGGTAGAAAAGAGAAAAGGAAATCAAAGTTTTTTAAAATTGTACTTTAAAGTGAAAGCAGCTTCAGAACACAAGGTTGGTTTATTCTCTTTTGTATTTATTTTTTTATTATTTATTTATTTACTTTGGTATCGGGAATGGAACTCTAGACCACGCACTTGCCAGGCAGGCACTGTGCTGCCGAGCTACAACCCCAGTACCTATTTGCTTTTTTTCCTTCTCCTTAAAACAGCAAAGCTGGGCAACTCTTTCAGCTGCAAATGGCTCTGCTCATTCCATTTTACTCACAAATGATTGTCTTCTGCCTTTGAATGCATTTCCCATAGGCATAGCTTCTAAGACTGAGGCTTAGACTATAGATTATCAAATTCCACAGATTTCCACCTCCTAAAATTTATGAGATTCCCAGTTCACAGTTGTATCCTACTTCATTTCTTTGAGCACCTGCACCCTTGAGTGATCCTACAGCTGTCTCTAATAAATCCTTGTCATGCCTTGTTTACTGAGGTCTCCTGAAAATACTTAATTTAAATGGGGTGGGTTACATTCCTTATTTCCACTTCAGGGACCCTAAGACCCAGCCCATGACACACCCATGGATGAACAAAATACAGTACTGCACAAGTATATACGTACAATGTCTAATATACAATGGAATATATCAGGCTCTAAAAAGGAAGGAAATTGACAATACTACACCATGAATGAGACACCAGGGCATTATACTAAGAAATCAGTTACAAAAAGACAAATAATGCTGGATATGGTGGCATGCATCTGTGATCCCAGCACTCAGTGCTGAGGCAGGATTGATGCAAGTTCAAGGCCAGCTTGGGCTCCACAGTGAGACCTTGTCTCAAAAACAAAAAAGTAAAAACACCTCAAATTCTAGCAAGAAGTTTATGTCCAAGACTTTGGGTACTGCTCTGCAGATCCCCAGTCAGCTTTGCCACACCCTCATCTATTTCAATTCCACTTATATAAGGGATCTACAGTAGTGAGACACATAGCGACAGAAAGGGGAGGACAAAAAGGAGAAGTGGCTGCCAGGGGCCCAAGGTAGAGGAAATGGGTCCCTGTTGTCTATTAAGTACACACTATGGGGGGTGGGGATTTTGCACAGTGGCCTAAGCACCTACCTGGCAAGTGCTAGATTGTGAGTTCGAAAGACAAAAAGCCTTCTGGAAATTGGTTGCACAACAATGTAAATGTATTTCATATTACTGAATTGCATACTTAGACATGGTTACAATGGCAAATTTTGTACTTTACTACAATTCAAAGATCTTTTAATTTCCTTGTTCCTGAATTGCATTAACTCTAGTGTTCAAATTTATGATTGTAAACATTGTAATCTCTTTTCAGTGTGTGTGGTGGGATTTTTGTTTTGGCTTTGCTTTTTTTTTTAGTCAAGGTCTTGTCATCTAGCCCAGGCTGTCCTCAAATTTGTGGTAATTCTGTCTCAGACACCCAAATGTTGAGCTCACAGATATGACCACTACACCTGGTTTCAATGTGTTTTCTGAATTATGATCCAAATAAGTACACACATTGTCATGGATTAACTCTTATCTCTTTGGTGGTTTTTTTTTTTTTTTAAACCGGGGATCGAATTCACGACCTAGTGCTTGCCAGGCTGGCATTTATGCTGCCTGACCCTCTCTTCTGTTTGCTAGGTTCCTGCACTTGCTTCCCCACCACCCCCTTCCTTGCAATTTATTGCAAGAAACAAAGTCCTTTGTCCTAGGGTTCTTGGAGGTCTAGATTCTCATGGTAATGTCTTCCTGGCTTCTAGCCTGCCTGAAAATTGGATTTAAGGATTTTAATTAGCTTGGGACATCATGTGTGGTTAAAATACACTCCTACCATAATTTTCTAATGAAAATATGTATTTTAGCATAATGGTAGTCAGTTGTACTTCTCAGTAGCTACACTGGAGGATGACAGGAAGCAATCTTTGTGCTCAGCTATGTTGTACAACGAACAGCAAG